ACACACACACGCACACACACGCACACACACACACACACACACACATTACACACAAGAACACAAGTATGCTTGATGGATAAACAGTTTAGAGAAAAAATTTTTACATTTGAGTAGTTGAACATTATATTGGTAAAAAATATATTTTTTATTTTATTAAACAAAAATATGTACAGAAATACACACTATGGTTCAAAATTTGGGGTCGGTAAGAAGTCTCTTATGATCACCAAGACTACATTTTTTTTATAAAAGTCCAGTAAAAAAAACAGGAATATTGTAAATTATTATTACAATTCAAAATAACTTATGTTTTTATATATTTTATTTAAATTGTAATTTATTCCTGTGATGCAAAACTGAATTTTCATCAGTCATAACTCGTGTTTTCAGTAGCACATGATCCTCCAGAAATCATTCTAATATGTTGATTTGATGTTCAAGAAACATTTTCTGTTATTATTAATGTTGAATTATGAGTTGTGTTGAGTTGTGCTGCTTAATATATTTGTGGAAACGGGATCCATTTATTAAGATTATTTGATAAATAGAGAGTTTAAAAGAACAGCACTCATTTAAAATAGAAATCCATACTCTTACTTTTGAATTGAATGCGTCATTGCTGAATAAAATAATTAATTTCTTTCAAACAAACAAACAAACAAAAATAAATGAATGAATGACCTAATTACCCCAAACTTTAGAATGGTAGTGTACAATTGAAAAAAAAAGAAGTACATCCCTGCATTTAGTAGGCAGAATTCCAATACCGCAGGGCATTACTTGATTTTTATGTCAACTACCAAGTTTATTTACTATATGTGGTTCAAATCAATCCCACAAACATAATACAAGTTTGAATGCATATATACTCACTAACATAACTGACCTAGGTCATACATTTCCAAATCTTGTGCACATTACATAAACAAATATTTACACATTAATTTTATGGTTTTGCAAACAGATTTCAAGATTTGCTCCCATAAAGCACAACCACAAAAAAAAACAAAAAAACACTACAATCCATCAACGCCGCGGCCAGAGTACAAACAAACCCCACCGAACACAGACACTCTAGCTAACCCACTTTTGTAAATAAACAAAGACAAGACACTGCCAACATGAAGAGACCATTTACTCGGCTAACACAACAAATTTAAAGAGCGGCAACTTCAGCCCAGCCTGGCGATCGTGGCCGCTTGCCTGGCCCGTGTGGTATTGATCAGGTGTTAGAACATGTATGTGCTGTTGATATTAGGCCATGGGGTGTAATGGTGTGAGAGGCCGAGGATGAATGAGGTCATTTGTGACAGACGTTTAGCTGGCTGTGCTGGACAATGCAGTGTCAGCGTGCAGAGCCAAGGCCACACTAGCGACAATATGACCCTGCTCCACTGACTCCAAGAGCAGTTACTCAACTACACATACACACAACCAACCAATCGCCAAGACATCAAGTTGATCCAGTGTTATTTTAGCACTTTGGGATACTAAAATCGTTTTTATCAATATTCTGAATTAGTTTTATTAATTAAAAAAAAAATTAGTTTAGGTATTTTTTAATGTAATTTTGTATTATTATTATTATTATTATTATTATTATTATTATTACGGCTATATAGTTTTTGTTAATGTTTATAGTTTATAGTTATTTCAGTACATCAAGTTGATACTATAATAGTTTTTTTATTAGTTTTTATTATTATTTTGAATTCGTTTTTATTTTCATGTTTTCATATTTTTTTATCTTTTTATTTAAATTTTAGTTAGTTTTAGCAATTTTGCTGTTTTTGTTATTTTATTCGTTTTTAAATATGTTTTTGTAGTTTATATTACTTTAATTTAATTGTATTAGTTTAGATTGATTTGATTTTATCTATATGGTTTTTATTAATATTTTTTATACTTTTTAATGTATATATATATTTTATTTATTTATTTACTACAATTGTAGTTTTAGTTTAGTACATCAAGTAAAAATAAATTAAAATGAGAAATGTTGCAAATAAGCTTTTTATATTTTATTTCAGTTAAGGTTTATTTATTTCAAGTAACATTAGTTTTATTTAACTATAATAACCCTGATTTGATGTGTTCATCGTTTTCGTGTGGATTAGACAAAATGTTCCTTGTCGGACGTTAGAACAACATTTAGCAGATGTTGTCTGTGGTTTTAGATGTTCATCAGAGGTTTGTACACAACTATGGCTTAAAAAAAAAAAAGCGTGATACTTTCCAGATGATGCGATGATTTGCGTGCTCACAGGGAAGCATATGCAAGTATGACTATGTTTGGGTTTGCGTTTGATTTGTGTTACGTTAGAGGAGGTAAAGGCTTAGTTTTTGAGGTTGGTTTATTTCTTCACGTTTCTGTCGGGTATATTAAATAGACCACAACTGACACATTTCCACACCAGCCTC